CTCCGCCTCCTGGGTTCAGGCAATTCTCCTGCCTCAGCCTCCTGAGTAGCTGGGATTACAGGCACGCACCACCATGCCCAGCTAATTTTTTGTATTTTTAGTAGAGACGGGGTTTCACCATGTTGACCAGGATGGTCTCGATCTCTTGACCTCGTGATCCACCCGCCTCGGCCTCCCAAAGTGCTGGGATTACAGGCTTGAGCCACCGCGCCCGGCCTAAAAATACAAAAATTAGCCGGATGCGGTGGCACATGCCTATAATCCCAGCTACTCAGGAGAATCACTTGAACGCGGGAGGTGGAGGTTGTAGTGAGCTGATATCGTGCCACTGCACTCCAGCCGGGGACACAGAGCGAGACTCGGTTTCAAAAAGAAAAAAAAAAGAGCAATTGGTTTCCTAGAATATTAAAACTAAAATAGAACTAGAAGAGTCTGCTGTCAAGTAGCCATTTGTTCACTCCGAAAAGATTTGCTGAGCACCTTTAGTGGGGCCAGCACTGGGTCAGGTACAGAGAATAAACAAGACACCCTCCCTGCTGTTGATGGGGCCTGAGATCAGCACCTTAATAAAACAAATGAGGATCTGGAGGTCCTAGGGGCTAAGAGTGTGTATTATAGCTCTATTATTTAAATTATGAATGTTATGCATCTCTCGTAATTTTACTTCTTCTCAGAAAACCGAAGTCATAGTATTTCACAGACTAGAGACAGGCTGGGTGCAGTGGCTCACGCCTGTGATGTCAGCACTTTGGGAGGCCGAGGCAGATGGATCAACTGAATTTAGGAGTTTGAGACCAGCCTGGATGACATGGCAAAATGCTGTCTCTACTAAAAATACAAAAATTAGCCAGGTGTGGTGGCGCGCTCCTGTAATCCCAGCTACTCAGGAGGCTGAGGTAGGAGAATCGCTTGAACCCAGAAGGTGGTGGTTGCAATGAGCTGAGATCACACAACTACACTCCAGCCTGAGCGACAGAATGAGACTCCATCTCAAAAAACAAACAAAAAATGACTAGTGATGATTCAACAAACCGGTGAATCTCCCTCATCCGCAATTTCACTGGGCCAGAACTATTTTTTTTTTTTCCTGTAGACATCAGGTCTCACTATGTTGTCCAGGCTGGAGTGCAATGTCACAATCTTAGCTCACTGCAGCTTCCACCTCCCAGACTCAAGTCACCATCCCATCTCAGCATCCAGAGTAGCTGGGACTAAAGGCACATGCCACTACACCCAGCTAATTGTTTTGGTAGAGATGGGGTTTTGCCATGTTGCCCAGGCTGGTCTTGAACTCCTGGGCTCAAGCGATATGCTCGCCTTGGCCTCCCAAAGTGCTGGGATTAGAGGCGTGAGCCACTGCGCCTGGCCTTTTTTTAAATTTTAAAATATTTTTTTAATGTTTACTTATTTAGAGACCAGTTTACGAGACTGGCCAATTTTTATATTTTTGGTATAGGGATTTCCTTATGTTACCCAGGCTAGTCTTGAACTCTTGGGCTCAAGTGATCCACCTGCCTCTGCCTCCCAAAGTGGGATTACAGGCATGAGCCACTGCGCCCCGGCCAATTTAGCTTTGTCTTAACAGCTTGTGCTGGTTATAGAGTGCCTGCTTCCTTTTTTTTTTTTTTTTTTTTTTAGAGTTGGGGAGTAGGGCAGGGCTGGGGGTGGGGGCCTCACTATGTTGTCCAGGCTGGTCTCAAACAACTGAGCTCAATTGATCCTTTTGCCTCCCAAAGTGCTGGGATTATAGGCATGAACCACAGTGCCCAGCCCTTGGAGTGCCAGCTTTTTTTTTTTTTTTTTTTTGAAATGGAGTCTCACTCTGTCACTAGGCTGGAGCGAAGTGGCACGATCTCCGCTCGCTGCAACCTCCACCTCCCAGGTTCAAGCGATTCTCCTGCCTCAGCCTCCCGAGTGGCTGGGACTACAAGTGCACACCATCACGCCCAGCTGCTTTTCATACTTTTAGTAGAGACAGGGTTTCACCAAGTTGGCCAGAATGGTCTCGATCTCTTTAACCTTGTGATCCACCCGCCTCAGCCTCCCAAAGTATTGGGACTACAGGCGTGAGCCACCGCGCCTGGACTTTGTTTTGTTTAACAGAGTCTCGCTCTGTCGCCCACGCTGGAGTGTGGCTTGATCTCGGCTCACTGCAATCTCCACATCCCGGGTTCAAGGGATTCTCCTGCCTCAGCCTCCCGAGTAGCTGGGATTACAGGCGCCCGCTATCATGCCTGGCTAACTTTGTACTTTTAGTAGATAAGGGGTTTAACCACGTTGGTCATGCTGGTCTCAAACTCCTGACCTCAAATGATCCACCCGCCTCGGCCTCCCAAAGTGCTGGGATTACAGGTGTGAGCCACCGTGCCTGGCTGGAGTGCCAGCTTTTAACAAGAGGAATAAAATTCACAGTAACGAGGCTAAACGTTTGGGGTCATTAAAAACAGTATCAGTAACAGTGTCTTGCCCTAATACTGGAGCCTGAACCAAAAGGAAGCATCTGTAATTTTTCTACTTTTAGTAGGTACGGGGTTTTGCCATATTGGCCAGGCTGGTCTCGAACTCCTGACCTCAGGTGATCCACCGGACTCGACCTCCCAAAGTGCTGGGATTACAGGAGCGAGCCACGGCGCCCAGCCAGTCCTACACTAAGTTTTAACAGTAAGTGTGCACTTCCCACTTTGATGCCGACGACGATAAGGGCGAAACCAAAGAAGTCTGGATTCCAAGACCTCTAGTAACTACCAGGTTGAGAGGAAAAAAATGTCTGATTTTCCAGGCTTAGAGCAGCACTGCCCGCCCGGCCTCATTCTAAATCCGCCTCCACCCCTTCAACACCGGCAATGCCCACAATCCCACACTCTGGGCCCCGGAGCCCACGCCTCTGGCAGTAAAGACGCCATTATCTTAACAAAAGGTAACTAGAGCCTCTCCCCGCAAGAGACTTTTGTTCCCGTCCCATTCTCCTCCGACCCGGGTGGACTTGGCAAAAGCCTAACGATCCTCGCTCGCAATTCCACAAAGCCAGTCTCCCGCGCCCGGCTCTAGAGTCTCCTGCCCCATTTCATTTCCAGGGAGGCTTAAGGGTGCGGACCCGGAAGCGTGACGGACAGGGACGGGGGGGGGGGGGAGGGGGCGAGGGAGCAGTTCCAAGGCGAAAGCGCAGGCGCAGTCCCTCCTCAGCCTCGTTGACCCGCCCCTTTCAAGGCCCCTGCCAACCTGTTCTGGGCGACGCCGGGGCCTCGAGTTTCCTCTTCCCGCCCCGCGTTGGTCACGTGACGGGGGAGGAGGTGAGATATAAAAAGTGCCTCACTGTCCTACTCCGCCGACGGCCCGTGGGGCGATTTCTTGACCTTCTTGGGTGGGAGTCCGTCGCCCGAGGGACCTCTCGGGAGCCTCCCCTGGTCAGGAGCAGAGGATTCGTCTGCCCCGCGACCCGCCCCAGTCACGGCGGGGACGTCGCCCCCTTCGGATCGGTCGCAGTCGGTCACGCGCCGAGGGTGCCGCGGAGAAAGAGAAGGGGCGGGCCTGGGCGGGCCGGGCGAGCGGAGGCGGGGACTCGCGCTGTCCTGAGGCTGCCTCTTAGGGCCCGGCCGGCGCTGCAGCCGCAGACTTTGGTTGTCACTGCCTCTTCCGACCGTGCTTACTTCGCTGCCGCTGGCCGTCATCATGAACCCAGACCTGCGCAGGGAGCGGGACTCCGCCAGCTTCAACCCGGAGCTGCTTACACACATCCTGGACGGCAGCCCCGAGAATACCCGGCGCCGCAGAGAGATCGGTGAGGGCGGCGGGCGAGACCTCCCTCCTTTCCCGAGCAAAGCTGGAGACTCCCTCGATGCGGAGTCAGAGGGCGCTGTGGGGCCTAGGCCCTCTCGCTCAGCGTTAGGGGAGCCGGGACCCCTACTTCGAGGAGCAGCCTGTGTCCCTGGTGGGGGGATATCGCCATTCCCGAGGTGTGTCCGCGACTCTGAAGTCTGTTGTGATCCAGGGAGGGTGGAACGGAGCCCCGAGTGTCTGTCTTCCTTTTAATGCCATTTTAACTCCCTTGCAGAGAACATGATCCTGAACGACCCAGACTTCCAGCATGAGGACTTGAACTTCCTATCTCGCAGCCAGCGTTATGAGGTGGCTGTCAGGAAGAGTGCCATCATGGTGAAGAAGATGAGGGAGTTTGGCATCGCAGACCCTGATGAAATCATGTGGTTTAAAAAGTAGGTATGCCTTAGCACAGAGCAAGTGTTGTTAAGTTTGAACTTTAAAGCTGCGGTTTATGGTGTCCTTTCATCACCGTGCTTGACGTTTGAAGATGCAAACTCGTATATTTTCATGCCACTTTAAAGTTATGTGTGTGGAAAATAATGTGATTACTTTTGTATCCAAGCCTTTTGTGGAATGATATGTTTGTACAATGCTGATAATAAGTGGAAATACGGGAGTTTTTGTTCTCAAGAGTCCAGTTTGAAGGTTGTTATAAAAACATTGTTCTAGCCAGGCATGGTAGCTCATGCTTGTAATCCCAGCACTTTGGGAGGCCGAGGTGGCCGGACTACACGATCAGGAGATAGAGACCATTCTGGCCAACATGGTGAAACTCCATCTCAACTAAAAATACAAAAAAGCAGCTGGGCGTGGTGGCCCATGCCTGTAATCCCAGCTACTCGGGAGGCTGAGACAGGGGAATCGCTTGAACCCGAGAAGTGGTGGAGGTTGCAGTGAGCCGAGATCGTGCCACTGCACTCCAACCTGGCGACAGAGTGAGATTCCGTCTCAAAAAAAAAAAAAAAAAAAAAAAAAATTGCCCTGCCCAAGCAGCTCAAATTTGAAGATTTACATGCAGAAGCATTTTGCTCTTTGTAACGAGGACTACTATATTTCTGAATCTGGAAGCATTTTTTTTTAGTTGCACGACCAATTAAATATTTTGGAGCAGTAGATTATATTATATGGTAGTGTGGACCTGGATGAAGAATAATCAGTCATGTCTCTGAATGAATGTAAAGTAAGCCTAGGAACTTAGTAGTTTTGAATTGGCAATAGTGCTTAAATGGTAGTCTTGTGCATATGAGAGAGATGTCATAAAACCTGCCTTGGTTCTAGTGTGGAAGAGAATATATCCTTTTTTTTCAGACCATGTTTTTTGTTGTCGTTTCGTTTGTTTTTGTTTTGAGATGGAGTCTCGCCCTGTCTCCCAGGGTAGAGTGCAGTGGCGCGATCTCAGCTCACTGCAATGTCCGCCTCCCGGGTTCAAGCGATTCTCCTGCCTCAGCCTCCCAAGTAGCTGAGACTACAGGCACATGCCACCACGCCTGGCTAATTTTTTCTGTTTTTAGTGGAGGTGGGGTTTCACCGTGTTAGCCAGGGTGGTCTTGAACTCCTGACCTCATGATCTGCCCGCCTTGGCCTCCCAAAGTGCTGGGTTACAGGCGTGAGTCACCATGCCTGGCCTGTGTTTTGTTTTGTTTTTGTTTTTGTTTATGAGACCGAGTTTTACTCTTGTTGCCCAGGCTGGAGTGCAATGGTTCGGTCTTGGCTCACGGCAGCCTCCGCTTCCCAGGTTCAAGTGATTCTCCTGCCTCAGCCTCCCGAGTAGCTGGGATTGCAAGGGCCAGCTGCCGTGCCTAACTCATTTTTGTATTTTTAGTAGAGGTGGAGTTTCACCATGTTAGCCAGGATGGTCTTGATCTCCTGACCTTGTGAGCCACCCACCTTGGCCTCCCAAAGTGCTGTGATTACAGGTGTGAGCCATCGCTCTGGGCCTTGTTTTTTGATTAGAAATAAAATAGGGGCTGACTCTGTACGCACTGCATATGAGTTAGCCCTGCTCCACAAGGAGCAGTAAAAATAAAAAAATTTAAAAAATATGGACTTTGGGCTGGGCATGGTGGCTCACGCCTGTAATCCTAGCACTTTGGGAGGCCGAGGCAGGTGGATCGCTTGAGGCCAGGAGCTTGAGACCAGCCTGGCCAAAATGGTGGAACCCGGTCTCTACTAAAAATAAAATTAGCTGGGAATAGTGGCTCACACCTGTGATCCCAGCTACTTGGGAGGCTGAAACAGGAGAATCCCTTGAACCTGGGAAGCAGAGGCTACAGTGAGCCAAGATCGCGCCACTGCACTCCACCCTGAGCAACAGAGTGAGACTCAGTCTTAAAAAAAAAGGACTTCTTTTGCCTTAACCTAAACAAATGCTGTTACATGATCCTAGTACAAGATTCTCTTGGCCTATAGCATTTCTTCTCATTTATTCCTGGGCATTTTCTCTTTTACGTTTCTCCATTTTAAAGAAAATCCAGTATTTTCATCAGTAAAGATTAAATCATATGAGTGCATAGATTAGAACTGAGCTAAATAGAATATGTTTGGCAGTTAGGCTCTGCCTTTATGGTAATAATGGTCGCTGCCTCTAGTGTCTTCGGTATTGATTTTCAGCTTGACTTGGGTTATTTTTGTGAAGATGAAATGGTTTACACTGGCCCTTTGGACTTCCCTAGAACTCCACTCAGTTTTAGCTGTAAATTTTTTTTTTTTTTTTTTGGTAGTTCAAATCACCATACTTCCAAATGGTCTTTTTTGCTTTTAAAGTTTGTAACTCATGGCTGGGGGAATATTGATAGAGTAACTTTTAGATTATGTTACTGATGGTCTGTGTTGGGTTTGTAAATTTAAAAAAATTAGAAGATTTTATTCCTTCTTAAAATGTTAGGAAAGAAGTGGGGTTTTTTGTTTGTTCTTGAATGGGTGGTGCAGTGCATTTCAAAGTTTATAGATTATTTCATAACCTGTGACCTGTTCATAATGTGTAACCAGACTCGAGTGAGGTCACAATGAAATAGAACAAAGTCCTTTATGTCGGTTAAAGATTCATGGACACCAGCAAGTTATTTTGTGTGTCATTTTTCATGTGAAGTATTAAAGTACAAACTTCAACACACCCTTTGACACCCTTCCAGTGTGCCTAGGATATGACAAGGAGGTCAGTTTTTAAGTTAGAGAAGGGGTTTGCAAGTTAGTCCTGGCAATGACTGCATGCCGTGAAGTTCAAGCCTGGAAGCCTGGGTTATATAATCTTATTGACTGTAACTCACACCAGTGTTTCGTGTACCTCTAGGAAAGAGATCATGCTGCCGGTTAACCATGACATGCTATTAATTGTGAAATACATCATCTTTTTTTTTTTTTTTTTTTTGAGATGGAGTCCTACTCTGTCGCCACCCAGGCTGGATGGAGAGCAATGGTGCAATCTTAATTCACTGCAACAACTCCTGGGTTTAAGCAATTCTCATACCTCAGCCTCCCAAGTAGCTGTGATTATAGGCGACTGCTACAATGCCTGGCTAATTTTTTTGTATTTTTAGTAGAGACTGGGTTTCCCCATCTTGGTCAGACTGGTCTTGAACTCCTGACCTCAGGTGATCCGCTCACCTCAACCTCCCAAAGTGCTGGGATTACTGCGTGAGCCACCATGCCTCTTCTGTTCTGTTCTCTTATCTTCTCTTCTTTCTCTTCTCTTCTTTCGTTTCTTTTGGAGACAGGGTCTTGCTTTGTTGCCCAAGTGGCAGTGTAGGGGCACAATCATAGTTCACTGTAACCTCAGACTCCTGGGTTCAAGTGATCCCCCACCTCAGCCTCCCACAGTGCTGGGATTATAAACTCCGTGATGAGAGTTTTTGTTTCCACGTAGATTATGATTTATGTAAGATACAAAAGAAAATGGGGCCAGGTGTGGTGGCTCATGCCAGTAATCCCAGCACTTTGGATTTTTAGTAGAGACGGGGTTTCCCCATGTTGGCCAGGCTGGTCTCAAACCCCTGACTTCAGATAGGAGTGCTGAGATGGGCGGATCACTCAAGGCCAGGCCACTTCGAGACCAACCTGGCCAACATGACCAAACACTGTCTCTGCAAAAATAGAAAATTAGACAGGCTTGGTGGCATACGCCCGTAATCCCAGCTACTTGGGAGGCTGAGGCATGAGAATCACCTGAACCTAGGAGGCAGAGGTAGCAGTGAGCTGGGATCACACCACTGTACTACGGCCTGGGCAACAGAGGGAGACTCTGTTTCTAAAAGAAAAGAAAGAAAAAGAAAGAAAGAAAGAAAAGAAGTGGTGGGGACAATCACATAGTACTTATTTAGGAAATGGGAAAAGAAGGATGTGTTGTATTTGCTATTATTTCTTCTAAGGCGGTGGTTTGGTTTCAGGGTTCCCCAACACTGCAATGGTAGCCTGCCCCTTCTCCCCTTTAGTTCATGCTCTGCCCATTGCACAGGCCAAGATAAACTGGTAGTAACATTGCTTCCTAATCATCTCTTAAGAAGTCATGAAGATCAGTTAGATGAGATGTATTTTGTACTTTAAGCTCTTCAGATATGCACTTGGTCGAAGTACTGACTTGATCCCCGTAAAATCTGTGACACAGCACAGCCAAGGCCAACTCCTGTGGACTCTATCTTGTGAGAAGAGAGTTAAGAACTAAATTTCAACCTGATATAGAGTTACTCTGGAGTAATGATGTTCATTGACCGTTGGGGATAAATTTTTACATGCCCACATTACTTATTTGTAAACCCTGAAGACCTTTAGAGATCTAAGATTCTGCCCTGGAATATGTATTCACTCTTCTGGATATTTGCTTATATTATCTAGGGAAAAATAGTCAAAATTATTTCTTCCTTGGAGCTCTTGTTAACAGCTCTCCAAATAAGTCTTCTCTGGAGTTACTTCTGATCTTTGAAACAAATAAGTAAAACCTAAATAAAGCAAAAAAGACAAACACACACATTCTAAAAAATTCAGCCAACCAAACCAGCAAATAATACCAACAACCTCCCCTTCCCTAAGTTAGAGATGTTTTTATGCTAAAACTTAGGTAGAGTTTGCTTCCTGGATTAAATGTAAATGTAAAATGAATTGTGGCCTTGAAATAATTAGAAGAAGAAAAGAGACCATCAGGCTCTGCTGTTGGCTTTTTAGGTAGTAAAACGGTAAATGTTGTACTTAATTTCATAAGAAGGGGCTTACATTTCCCTAACCTTCTCCCTAAAAAGGCCAAAGCTGTTTGGCAAGAATGGGTTCTAGGATGCATTTTCTAGAGGAAGGCTGAGCTCCTTTTCTTTTCTCTCCTGTAGACTGCATTTGGTCAATTTTGTGGAACCTGTGAGCCTCAATTACTCCATGTTTATTCCTACCTTGCTGAATCAGGGCACCACTG